GAACCACTCCGCCAGCTCCCACATTTTTTAGTGTAGCCCAGGGTGGCCTCAAAATTTTTTAGGGGGGTAGTACTGGGGTTTTGAACTCGAAACCTCATGCTTGTTAGGCAGGCACTCTACTACTTAAGCCACGGCTCAGACCCTTTTGACTTCAGCTATTTTTTGGATAGGATCTTCATTCTTGCTTGGGGTTGGCCTTGGACCACCATCCTTCTATCTGTGCCTCTCGAATACCTGGAATTACAGATGCACACTACCAGCTTGTGTGTTGAGATAGGTTCTCGATAACTTTTTGCCCGGGACTGGCCTTCAACCTTGATTCTCCTGATCTCACCTCCCGAATATCTAGGATTACAAGTGTGTACCACCACCACACCCAGCTCTCTTTGGGGTCTTCTTAAGGGGTAGGTGTTCCCCAAAGCTGGGAGAGGAGGAATTGATCTAGAAGCTCTCCAGAGAGTATGGGGAAAAGAACTCTGATTCTGGGCTACTGATCTGTCAGGCCAAGGATGTACTCTGGCAAACAGGCACTCTTCTCACTGACACAACAGGTGCTGGGGAACAGGGCAGGTGATCTCCCTGTCCCAACATCTGGGTCTGCCCAGATTCTCTATGTGTCTCTACTTTTTCAGGTGTCTGGTGTATATTCTCCCAGATTACACTTTCTTCTCCACCGCCCCCCCCCCCCTGCCAACCCTCACCTTCCTTGAGTCTTCAGCTCATGGCTCACTGATCATGGCTCTAAAGCAACAGAGGCAGCAGGGTGCAGAGGGCTGGATTCAAAACAAGTCTTGCTCTATTACTTGCTAGCTGAGTGCTCTTGGTAGAGCCTTGTCAGTTCTCTGGGTGTCACTTCTGTCACAAGCTAATTGGCTTGTTTTCTGGGCAGCCTTCAACCAATCAGAAAGAGATACTGTCTGTGCCAGTTGGCCTGAAAATAGTGCAGACTCTGGAGGGTTGGGAACCATGCCAATGGGAGACCTTGGATCACTCAAAAAGGACACCAGAGCTCCCAGATTCCTAGACTGCTAGAGCTGGATGGGGGCTTCATCAGTCAGTGAGCTCCCCCACCTCATTTTACAGATGGCAAAACTGAAGCTGAGGAAGGGGAAGTGGTCACAAGGCTGGCAAGGAGCAGAGCTGACTGGTCTGGAGATATGAAACCGAATCTTGGCCAGCCCAACTGCAAATGGGCTCTCCCGTCTCCACTTCTTCCCTTGCCTGGGTGTTCACCTCTGCAGCCACATGTCCTGAAGAAAGGACCCCAGCTCTATGCTCTGGAGCTGGGCTAGACCAGACCTATGCACTGTGGGATCTCTATGGAGATCCTGGCTCTCCTGATTGTGTCTCAAGTACAGTGTGTATGAAGGCAGCTGTACTAATTTGCTATTGCTTAGTCTACACCTGGGGTGACTATGGGGATGTCCTATCTGGGACCTGGATGTCAGTCAACAGGGAGGAGAGCTGTGCCCCTGGCTCAATGTAGACACAGTGGACAGTTCAGGACAGTTAAGAGGAAGCTGGGAAGCAAAGGCAAGAGGAAACCTGGGGCCAAGCCCCACAATAGTGTCACCTCTGCCTGATCCCCACTCCTAGCTTCCATTCTGCCTCAGTCTTCTGCCAACTCTTACTGGTGTTCATGTAGAATGCTTCTGAAAGCTGTTTTGAGGGTAGGGTTAATCATGACCACTGGAGCCAGACTGCTTGGGTTTTCATGCTGTTTTCTCACTTACTTGCTGTATGATTTTGAGTAAGTTATATAACACTATGTACCTCAGTTTCCCTGTCTTTAAAAAAAAGAGGATGATGATAGCACCTATTTCATGAGATTGTTGTGAAATGCACATGGTCACTGCTCATTATTATTTTGTCTACTCCATTAGACATGATACTCCCTAGGGCAAGCCCATCAGATTGGGGTTCCTGAGGATAGCACTCTTTCTCAGAGTTGAGCTCTTTTTCTTCCTATCTGTTCTCTTAGGAGCCCAATCTGAGTCCAGCAGAGGCTTGAAGATGTTTCAATAAGGGAGCTAGTAGAACTCATTCTGAGCAACAAGCCAACAAGGGATTGGGGTAAAAGAGACTGGGAGTGTGTGTGTGTGTGTGTGTGTGTGTGGGGTACTTTCTTCATCTGAACATCGGATGGTTCATCTTCCCAGCCCCCAGGAAGCAAGGCAGATAAGGATGCTGGTGGGGAGAAGGCTTCATTTTCTGAGAGCCCTGAGCTGGGGAAGATGGCAGGGATGGTGGGCCAGGTTTTGCCTTTAGGAGGCTCCTTGTTGGAGCTCTCTGCATGCAGGCAACAGCTGGGTGGAGGAAACCAGTAGCCATTGCCTGTGGTTATGCCTGTACCCCGCTCCTTAAGTTCCAGAACTCTTGCTCATCCGTTACCTCATTTTTTCTCCCAATCATTCTGTAATGGTGAGACTATTTTATTTATAAAATAAAAAACAGGGTCGAAAATGACCCTTCAAGATGTTAAGTAGCAGGTCCAAGCTCACATCGTCCTTAAGTGTCTATACTGCAACTTGAACTCAGATGCTCTAACTCCAAGTCCCATGCCTTTTACATACTGTGTGTCACGGATAGTGCAGGCTGATTGAGGGACGCTGAACCAGCCTTCAAGAGCCTCCAGTTCAGTGGGAGAGATGCAGGTTCTGTCACCAGGGGATCTTCAGCAGCATGGGAAAGTTACAGTTCTCAGCAGGAAAGGGAGAGGAGGGAGAAAACACTTGACATTTACTATGTGCTGGGCACTTTGTACAAGTCCCTCTCTATCGTTGAAAAGTCCCATTGGCCAGACAGGGCTTGAAGCTCAGAGAACTTAAGCAACTTGTATTAGGGTCCTTAGTGGGTTCCCAGTGACAAAGCTGGGATTAGAATCTGATCCAGCCTGACAATATTGAGGCCTATCGCTTTTCCTCTAACCTGAAAGACCCTGGAGTTAGAACTGACCACTTAGGAGTCTGGGTATTTGCACACTTCTTAGCTTTAGTTTATTTTCATTCCCATCTTCTTTCACTAGGAAGTGAGACAGAGAGTGGTCTTGGCTATCTCTCTATCCCCAGGATGAAGTGCAAAACTCAGGGAATAATAGTTGTTTAGTAAATTCATGCAACTTGTTAGTGTTGTATGAATTGTGGAAAGGTGCTTGGAAGGCCTCCTCCTGTCAAATTTCCTGTCTCCCTGGGATGATCTGAGACATCATTGATAGGGAGGACGGATTGGGGAACTGGGGTTGAGGTGCGGACATCTGTCTCATGGAAAACCTTTCCAGATTTCCCACTCTCACTGGAACTTCATGCTTCATCCCAGCACTTCTATTGGCTATGTCCAGTCTCTCCTGTGACTGGGTCCCAGCACTTTTACCCTTCCTGGGATTGCTGTCTAGGAGACAAGTGTGGCACTGAGATCAGAATTATCCTTTTTGCTTCACTTTATTCCAAGAGTTTCAAGAGGTGGGATGGGGGAGATGATCTACCCCCATTTTCCAGTTAGGGGTAAACTCCAGATTCATCCGATAAGTTGGTGGTAGAACTGGGTTCAGTGATGATGAAAGAGTGGAAAGAGGCCTGGGGCAATTTTCTGAATCCGGCACAGGCTAGGATTCCCCCCAGGGGTTTGAGGAACCTGGCTCTGTTTGTCCTTCTCCAAGGCAGATGGGAAAGAAGGGACTCTACTTCATCTGTAAGATGGGATGGAGAGAATCTTAGAATCTTGCCTTTGGTAATAACTTTTCAACCCTCTGTAGTCTTAACAGTTGCCGGCAGGTGTCATCAGTTTGCAACTTTTTGGTCTGTCCTACAAATCTGGCTCCCAGACCTGTTCTTCCTCCAGTCACTCCCAATGGTTTGCATTTGCAAAAGTAGCAGTTGTCTGAACCCCTTGGAGGCTGAAAGACCCGTTCTTGAGAAGTGGTAGGCAGCAGAGCCTATGAACTGTACTTCAGCTTGGGTGCCTCACAGTTTTCTAGGCCAAGCCAAAAAAAATCCCCAGTGGAACACCAATTATGCTTGGAGGCACTCCTGAGGTCGGTTCCAAGCTAGCACGAGTTTGTGGGGGAGGATGGTGTGGACTTGGGGGCGGTGTCTGGAGAAGAAAGCTAGGAGACGGTTCTCTGTTCCAAATGCAGGACTGGGACAAGGGTGGGGAAATAATAACACCAATAGAATCTCATGGAGAGGCAAGCCAACTGGACAGTAGCCCAAAGAGTGGCACTGGGTAAATTAGAAAAAGGCACCCCTTCCTTGACTACAGTCTACTGGGAAACTATCACAACAGCTATACAACTATACAATGACTACAGGGAATGGTGCCCCCTGGAGTTGTTCTATGCACACTTGCACATTGCTGGCAAGTGGCAATCTCCCAGGCCAATATCCCTCCAGAAGCAGATCTGGGCAGTAGAGGCAAACATCCAGGAAGGAGTAAAAGAGGCCTGGCACTTCTCACCACCCCCTCTCTCCCTCCAGTTGGGTTGATTCTATCCTGGGGAGGCACGGTGAACCAGGGCCCAAATGAAACCTTAGAGACACTGAGCAGGAGTGGGTCGGGGAGGCCACAGGAAGTAAGTTGGAAGAGAGCCTATTAGCTCATAGGGCCACCAGGCCTTCCCATGCCCTTCGTTGGGTGACTATACTCTTTGCCCACCTCACCCCGCATGGACTCTAGCGGTTGAGACTGGAAGCACCCGGGTGGGGTGGAAAGGACTCTGGCCAGGAAGGTTGAATCCAAGGACGGGAATCCGGGCTAAGAGGCTGGGGAGGAATCCTCTGAAGTCAAGGGAGGGGGTTAAGCAGCAGACCCTTCGCTTCCCCTTTCCCTGCCTTCCCTCCTAGGCTCCTGTTCAGAGGCGCTCTGGGCGCCTGCACCGCTTGCAAACCGCGCCCCTTCCTTCTTGGGAGCAAAGGACTTTCAGATGTTGTAGCGGCAGCGGCGACTCAGGACAGCGCCCCCTCCCCCTAACGTTCGCCTCTCCCTCTCCCCCTCGCCCGCCCGGACTCCCCCACCTCGGGGAAAGCGCTGGGGGTGTGGCCAGGGGCCGGTATAAAGTCCGGGGAGTCGGTCCCGGGCAGCCGCTCAGCCCCCTGCCCCCAGCCGCCCGCCGCCTGCTGGGCCGGGCCGAAGATGCCGTGCAGCGCCTCGGCGGCCAGGGTCGCTCCGCTCCAGCGCGCTTGCTAACTTCCCGGGCTCCGTCCCTGCCCACCCGGGTTGCCCCATATCCCCGCACCCTCCGAGTGTGGTCCTCCAGGCGCGTTGGGCGCTGCGGCCGGGTACCCCTGCTGCCTGCCGCGCGCCGGCGCTTCCCGCTCGCGCCCCGCGCCCGCGCCCTTTCCTTGTCCAGTCATGCTGCCCCTCTGCCTCGTGGCCGTCCTGCTGTTGGCCGCAGGGCCGGGGCCGAGCCGGGGCGATGAAGCCATCCACTGCCCACCCTGCTCCGAGGAGAAGCTGGCGCGCTGCCGCCCCCCGGTGGGCTGCGAGGAGCTGGTGCGGGAGCCAGGCTGTGGCTGTTGCGCCACTTGCGCCCTGGGTTTGGGGATGCCCTGTGGGGTGTACACCCCCCGCTGTGGCTCAGGCCTGCGCTGCTACCCGCCTCAGGGGGTGGAGAAGCCCCTGCGCACGCTGATGCACGGGCAAGGCGTGTGCATGGAGCAGACGGAGATCGAGGCCATTCAGGAAAGCCTGCAGCCCTCTGGTAAGGTATCCCTGCCCTCCTACATCCTTCCCAGTACGATCTCCACCCTGCAGCTTTGTCCCCATTCTCGATGGCCTGGAAAGCCCATGAAAGTCCCCTGGGAGTTGAGGAGAAGGCAGGTACGTGGCAGGGCCTGACTGGCACGGGACAGGCTCAGCCAAGGAAACTGCTCCTGAATCTCTAACTGCCAGTTGCTACCCATCAAGGAGAACTTTGTCCCATCCCTCCATCTCAAACCTCCCAGGGGTGCCTAACTGGAAAGAGATGTCTCAGTGGTCAACCTGGTTGATAATACAAGAGGGGGCAAAGTAAGTGACCTGGTCCAATCAAGTCAGAGTAGGGTCCAAAACTGATGGAAAGAGGTTGATAGGGGTGAGAGTCACCTTTCTGTTCCTGATCTAGAGCCTGCCTCTTTCCCTGGCCACAGGCAAAGGAAACTCCAGGGGTCTTAGGTACCAGGGCCTAGGCTTTTCACATCTTCTTATGGTGGAGTGGGACATAAAACCAGAGGGCCTTCGGTGGATGGATGTCAGACTTGTCCTTCTTCAAAGCCTTGAGTCAGCTGTTTGAGAGGCAGTGGAAAGACAAGGGTCTTTCTGCCTGCCCTGGCAGGTGCCAAGGCCTGAGAGAAACCTTGACTTCCATGCCTCAGGAACCTCAGGGATATGATATAGGGAACAGGAGAGAGAGAGAAAGAGAGAGAGAGAGAGAGAGACAAAGAAACTCTTAGGAGGCCTCTTGTCCTAACCTCATTCTTACACTTTCTCTTTTTCCATTTCTCAGTGAGCCTTTCTCAGTTTCTTCTTAGAATCTTTCTTCAATTTCCTTCTTTTTCTTGTTCTTTTGTTATTTTCTGCTGGGTCTCTCAACTTCTAGTTTCACCATAATGTTCTTAAGTTCTCTCTTCCTCAGTGTCTTCTGCACATTATCAGTTTCTTTCTCTTGCTCTGCCTTACTCTGTTTTTCTTTCTTTCTTTCTTTTTTTTTTGTTCTGCTTCTCTCATTTTTATCTCAGACTCTGTTCTGTTGCTCTTTCTCCCTGTGTCTTTGTTACTGTGTCTGTCTCTGTGTTTCTATTGCTTTCGGACTCTCTCTGCCTCTCTGTCTGCATCTCTGCCTCTGGTTCTCTGATTGTTTTGCTCTCCCTCAGGCTCTGTGTCTTTCTTTTCCTGGTGCTTGAAGCTTCCATTGTTGCAGTCCGGATGCTGGGACTCTGGCCCCAAGCTTCCTGCCCTGGGTCCCAGACGGCTTTACTTCCTCAATCTTCTGCAGCTTGTTAGCTGGAGGAAAGCAGGATGCAGGGAAAACAGGAAGGAGGTGGACCCCAGGAATCTGGGCCTTAGGCCTCTCTGCCCTTCCTGCCCCTGGGTAGGGATAGATGGGTCAGCAGAAAACATTCTAGGAGAAATGCCAGCCAGCAAGCACCCAGCACTTCTGGAGAGGAGGGTCCTGGGGTAGTAAATTGATAATTTTGGGGCAGAGATGCGTGTGGCAGTGAGACCAGGAGTGAGGACTGAGTCTCTGTGTCTCCTGGGTATAACCGAGCCACTTTGCCCTTGAATCTCTACTCTCCATAAGCTAGTGGCCATCTGGCAGCAGATAAGGGGATAGCAGGTAGCTCCTTCTTTCTCACCAACATGATCATAAGGGAGAAGAGCCCTTTGAGGGTCTTCTCTGGGTAGGAAAGACCATCCCAGCTGTAGTGGAGGAAAATCTTATCCTTTAGGAGCTTGGGAAGGGCATGGTATGAACAGTTTGCCATTATCCTCTGGACATAATGCAAACCAGCCTCAAGAGGTATGTAGGGATAAGGTGGCTTTAGGTTCACTTTAGATTGCAGAGCAGGTCACTAATTCTCTCTCCCTTCCTTCCTGGTTTTGTCCCAATGCTTTGGATGCAGATATCAGGAAAGAAAGATAGAGGAGGTCAGGAGGATCCTGGGAAAACTAGGTACCACTCAACAAACCATGCCCTCCTCTCTCACCTCCTAGTCATCAAGGAAGTAGTTCCCTGCCACATTGCATCATGGGAAGAGCAGCCCCCTAGAGCTGTGGGGCAGTTTTGCAGAGTCTTGGGTAAGATACTGAGGCAAGCTCCACCCTATCCTTACGCTCCTCTTTAGCCTTAGACTTTCAACAGGCCAGGCCACAGTCCCTCCTAGGTCCCTAGGCTTGGGGCTGCTGGTCTGGGAATAGTTTGGCAGAGGGTGTCCTTTCTTCTCTCTTCTTGGGGGTTGAACATCAGCAGGTGGCTAGCGGAAGGTGGTCATTTGGCACATGCCCTCCCTTGAACTTAGTTCAGTGGCCAGCTATCTACTCCAGGGGCAGGTTTCCCCCCTTTCTTCTCCAGCCAGCCCTGCCCTCTTTCTCAGCCAGGTTGTGGATTAACACCATCCAGGCCACCAGAGGTACGGATGGGCATGTGCGTCAGATGTCCAAAATTCTCTGCACTGTGGTACTGACTCTCAACTCTTGAACTCTGGGAGAGTGTTCAGTGGGGAGATCAGGTGTGGGACAGGGAGATCCTAAACGGGACTGTGGGTCCCTCCAGGACAGGGTTAGAGAACAGGCAGGCTGGGTTAATTTTTAGTCAATGCAGCAAATATTGTCCTCCCTTCTTCAGTACTGGGAATCCAGTCATGCCATGGAAACAGGGCCTTCCCAGAAATTCTGTGTTTTGGGGGAGGGGGAAGGAGGAGCGTGGCTCTTAGCAGTTTTTCTTTCGTATTGGCAAAGCCCAAATTATCGATGCCTCGATTATCAGAAGTGTTTCTATTTAAAGACATAGGAATGGCAGTGACAAGTCTCGCCTCTTCTAGGCAACTTCAGTTTTCTTATCTGCAAAAATAGAGATGATGATAGGACCTGCCTCACAGTATGGGAGTGGGGGGGTTCTGGCATTGAGTAAGAGGACTAATGAGGACAGAAGCTGCTGCTGGGACTTTGGGGACCTGTAAGGCAAGAGAGCAAAGTTGGGAGGATATTCAGAGGAGCTAAGAGGGGCCGGTTGCCTTTGGTGCCTTCTGCTGCTGTACGTATGGAAAGGACAGGGCCACTGGGCTCACTGGAGGAAGCAGCATGGAACAACAGTGAGGGGCACTCCTTGAGCCAGACTTGGTACCTAGCATGGTTGATTTTGGCTTCTCTAGTCAGAGTCCAGGGGAAGAAGAAAAAGAAAGGCTTTTCTGACAGGGCAGGTGGGTGACCTTCTAGGGCATGGCTGAAACTTCTGGGTTTGGGTGGTGGGGTCCACCTAGCCTGGGTGTCTTACTAGGAGTGAGGGCTGGTGTTGAGGAGAAATTATGGGGTGAAATCAGGTAGCAGAAACTTTGCAAGTGCTGATACCAAAGCTGTGTAGCCTCTTCTCCTTCTGGGCTTCTTGCCCTTCTCTGCTGGAGCGAAGAGCAAGGCTTCCTCTGCTGCTGGATGCCCTTGGCAGGCACTTGGCAGCTCCAAGCAGGGCCTGAAGGAGAAGACCTGGCCTTACCTTGGAACTCCACCTCCCAGAGGAGCTTCTTAGAGGTCAGCCCTTCCAGGGGTAAGGGTCTGATTCCAGCTTCTGCTCAGAGGGGAACCCAAAGGCATTGGGACTTTTGTAGAGGGCCCTGCAGGGTAAGTCTCACTGGAAGGTTTTCAAGCAGCCTGATGCTACAACCCTTATCCCCCAAACCTGGTGTCTAGGGGTGGATCCTGGGGTGGGTCCTCTGTCTGCCAGTTAAGCAAGGCTGGACAAAGCAAAGTTACAGATTAAATGGAAAGTCAACAAACTGTGGTGCAGAGAGACCTGGAAATCAGTGTGCCGTGCCTTGGTCTGTGTCTCTGACCAGGGCAGGGTCAGTGTGCCTGAGCACACACATGGATGAGTGTATGTCTGGACACATGATTGTATGTTTGTGATTATTTAATCCCAGCCAATGTGTCGGTGGGCAGATGTGGACTTACTCTGTGTATCTATGTTCCTAGGTAAGTAAGAAGGAGAGTGGGTTCTACTCTAAGATTAGACACAAAATAGGAATCAGTAACAGTGGAGAGGCCAGATGGTCTACTGGCTCAGCTTTGCCCAGATTACCGACCTCCCCCCCCCACCCCGCCCCGCCCCGTGACATGGAACCATTCCAACAAGAATGCTTCAGGGTTCACCCTATGCAGCCTAGGTTTCAGCTAGCTACCCAATTGTCTTTTTTTTTGGTACTTGACTTTGAACAACGAGCCTCATGCTTTTTTGAGCCACTCTACCAGCTCCATCTTAATGGTGAATATCTCAAATATTCGTAGGTGATCCCCTGAGAGTTTGTCACTTGTGAGCTTCTACTCATAGAAGCTCCACATTGGAAAGGAAAGTTATGGTCAAGCCTAGGCACCATCTTTTTCTGGGTTCTTAAGGCCTTCCCCCATAGCAAGGCTCCACACTTGCAGGGTAGGGAGTTCTCCACCTCATAAGGTAGCCCCCTTTAAACTCTGAGCCTAAGAACATTCTGCCCACTACTAAAGGAAACAGAGTCCTTGCACACAAAGTCATGCTTTCCATTATGATGGTGGAAAAAAAAAAAAAGCAAACTCAGGAATCATAAAGGCCTTTCCAGGTTGCAAGGGTACACCCCACAGGTCACTGTCTCAGGCTCCAGCCTTACATGTGGAAAGGTGGAGCCTTTGTTCACACCTTGGGCTCAGCCTCTGTCCTCCTAAGATTTGGTTTTAGTTCCTTTAAGTCTCTCGTTTCCTCTTTCTTTATTCCCCAGTTCCAGCCTATACCCCTGAGACACTGTGATTCTGTCTACATGCTCATGGCTTTATGCAGGATGGGGACAGGGAGAGAAGGGTTGCTGGCTGGCTGGGTCTTTTTGCCCAGAGAGGTTCCCTGGGAGAGTCTCCAAGGAAAGGCCTGGATTCCAGATCTTTCTTTGGGTTCTAACTGAGCACTCTGGGAGCATCTTCTTATGGTTCCTTTATCACAGTCTCGTTCTCTTTTGCTACTTGTACTGGTTGGGGATGGGTCTTGGTTAGTATCTCTGCTTTGGCTGATTCTCAGGAGACAAATATGGGAATGGAGTCCCTCTTTGACTTTCTCTGGGATGATCCATGTGCAGAAGGATGGATTGGATGTATCTGCTCCATTTATTCCTTCTCTTTGATTCCCGTTTTAAGCCAGCCTTCCACTTGTGACAGAATCTTCCATCCTTGGTGACTTAATCTTATTAATTACCTTTGGTGTGGAATCCTGACAAAGATTTTCTGATGGTCTCAATCCCTTCTTGCCTGGTTTCCTTTTATCTATGTGCTTTTTCCCTCATCCCCTAAACTAAAAGAATGAAATGAGAACCAACTCCCAAGTTTTGGCTAGGCAGAAAAATACCATTTGACCTAGAGGCAGCTCTGGGATTGCTGCCATGCATGGAGGAACCTGCTAACTCCTCAGGAAAAAAATCCTGACACAAACCAGATGTAACCTCCTGTTCTGCTGCCAACATCTGGAATGCTGGCAGGGACTCTGCACTCGGGCCACAGTGAGCTGCCAAGCCTGAGCATTTCAGAGGTGGCTCTGATGTGCCGAGCTGTCTTCCAACCTCCTCCTTTTCTAGCTCAGCCATGCATTCCAGCCTTGGCTGCCTGGAGGGTGGAGCACGATTACAATTCAGGGTCTCCTGGATGGAGTTTCTCTGGAGCTCAGCTAGAGCCTTCAAGAGGTCCCATGGCAGAAGTAGGGTCCAGCCTGCCACTCCCATCTCCAGATACCCAGAGCTCTGGGCCTGGCTGACAGTCATGGACTTTGATGGGGCCTGAAGTCTAGGAGTGGTAGACTTAGAGGTGGAGGGCTAGAAGAATGTGTGTGGCTGTTCTTTTGGTTCTGGAGCCACACAGGATGTCACCTCCCATTTTCCCATGCAGACGTACCACACTAAGTCCCACCCAGGCAGTGGGAGAGCTTTTGGGACTAGATTTCTCTTTACTCATGGAAAGTCTGACTCTAGCCTTGGGGATCCCCAGCAGGCTCAACCAGATGCTGGGAAGAGCAGAGAAGGAGTCAGGAAGGATGAACAGATGGAAAGGTGGGAGAAGCTGAGTGGAGGGAGACAAGGTCCCAGTAGCCCTTCCCTCAACTCCCTGCCTGCCTCAGACCTCCTTCCAGGGCCCAGGGGACCCTCCTGGCATCTGGGCAGCTGCTGCTGGTGACTCATCTGAAGGCTGGATTGGGCGGGGTGAGGGACAAGTCAAGGACTTCAAGAAAATTCTCCTGAGGAGATCCATGGGAGTGGGGTAGAGATGGGGACTGCTCTCATTTCTTCCTGCCCCTGCCTCCCCTCCAGGCTCACTGCTGTTCTCAGTGCCAGGTTGGAGAATCCCCAAGGAGGAGGAAGCAGGTGGGAGACCAGGTTGGTGTGGATCCTTGTTCTTTTCTGATGCTGACCTCTGCCCTTCTTGGCCTGCCTGCAGACAAGGATGAGGGTGACCATCCCAACAACAGCTTAAGTCCCTGCAGCGCCCATGACCGCAGGTGCCTGCAGAAGCACTACGCCAAAATTCGAGACCGAAGCACCAGTGGGGGCAAGATGAAGGTCATAGGGGCACCTCGGGAGGACGCCCGGCCTGTGGTGAGGACCTCAGACCCACAGATGTGCTTGAGTATAGACATACCCACCCACACACACACCCAATCTGAACTATGTTCATACAGCAAACACTCTTGGATGCCCACTGTGTGCAAGATGTGCCTCCTATGAGTCACCAAAATGCAGAGAGAGAAAATTCTTACTCCTTTCTTTTGATTCCTTTCCTGCTCTTCACATATATACATTGTATAACCAAAGTTTTTTTAAATACTGAAATGCTTCTGGGCTGATTGGTAAAAAGCAGTGTCCCAAGCCCCAAGAGTTTCTTGCCCCTTTTCTTGAATTTCCCACTCTAGACCTCAGGAACTAAAGGATTAATGTTGGTCACAGTAAGGGCCCTTGGGACCCTGCTTTAGGGTCTGGCTAATGTCCTTTTTGATAGGTGGTTGTGATGGACCTGTGCCTGTCTGGGTCTTATGAGTTGTTAACTGTGTGTGGTTTCCTCTATTCTCTCTCCTTAGGAATTCCCCTGTCCTTGCCTCCATACATTTCCACAGCCCTTTCTCACCAAGTCCCTCACATCACACTTTTTTTGGGGGATGCAATCCTGGACTTGAACTCAGGACCTTGTACTTGCTAGGCATGTGCTTTACCACTTGAGCCGTAGTCCAGCCCCACACCCTCCTTTTGTGGAAGTTAATTGGTTCAGACTCCCTCCTCAGTGTACCTCTCTCTCCCTACCAGTGTCCTCTGAGCCCTGGTTCCCATTCTTCACCTCTTTGGGCTTTGCCCAGCCTCTGTCCAGGGCCTTAAGCCCTCATTTAGTTTGAGCCCCAGCCCA